ACACAAGCTGAGAAAGGATGCAGCAGTTAGCTTTTGCCTGAGTCTACTGGAAAGGGCAAGATTCTGCCCCTCTTCTCTTTTTCTCCATACTGAATTAACTGAGTGCAAATTACTTTTGTATTTTGAACTCAGTTTGCAGCAATTAAGCTGAGGATGAATAAAGAAAATGGTGGAAGGAGAGAGAAACTGGAACATTTTTAAAGCAGTGGGGAAAATGGATGGAAAGAGGATTATTTGGGACTGTCCCTGCCAAAATGGGACAGATGGAGATATTCAGGATGTGTATTGTAAGAAGGAAGAAGGAAGGAAGGGGAGAATTTTACTTGAACGTCACACATTTTACTTACAAAAGTAAATTTTATCCAGATTTGGAACTATAGCTCAGTTACATGATACTAAGTTCAAGTACAACCATGTTTGTTATGCTTGCTATTTGAGGTCTACAACTGTGAAAAGCAGTTACTGAGTATTATAGCTGGAAACTGGTACACAGCCCCTGCACAAATAGATTTTGGGTGGGACCCAAGAAGATATAACTACTTTGTTACAATGAATCATTAATAATTAATTCATTTTTGCCATGGGGATTAGGGCATAAATCACATTATGATTGCAATGTAATGAGGAATAACTTCATTCCTCCATACTGCAATGGTATTTGTTTTAGTTACTCCTATGTTACAGAATATCGGTAGTTATACTGCTTTGATCTATAGCAGTCTGGTATGTATTTTTGAAATACCTACAATTATTAATTATTTCTTAATTATTTCTTAATAATACTTTACTTTTATAATTGTTACTATAATAGCAACTAACTACTTCCTTTAGGGCCTTTGGATTATAACCTAAGAAATTACTTTAAAAAGTAAATTTCACAGTGTCTCAGAGATAGCCATACCATTAGGCACTGAGAAAACAACCTCAGATGACAAATGCAGGGGGCAGGGAGCATGGCAATCCCTGCAAACAGTTCTTCTGAATCGATGGCCATCCCTCTCATTTGGTGGAAAGGGAAGCTGGTGTCTTCTATGTCAGTGATGTGATATTTTTAGTCTGAACTTTAAAAGATCTGTCCAAGCTGCTGAACCTTTTGTTATTGTTGTTGTTCTGTGCCTTCCAGTCATTCCCAACTTATGGAAATTCGAAGGCCATATTTATTTATTTATTGAATTTATATCCTGTCTTTCTCCAAAAATGGGATTCAATGCAGCTTAGGACGTTATCACACAGGGGCAAATCTGCTGGTTAATCCACACAAATCCCAAACAGAAACTGGATTTGTGCCCCGTGTTTTCACACGACGTCGCACAGAAACTGGACAGATAGTAGACAGAAAATGGTGTTAACCGAGTTCTTTTGAAATTCGGTTGTTTGGAGGAAATGCAAATGCGAAATTAAGGCAATTTCACATTTACCGTAATGTGAAAAGCAAATGCGCATTTGGGAGCATTTCCCTGCTGTTCCCATGGTTCCAGCGAGCATTCCTCTATCTGCGCATGTGCAAGAAGCTCATTTCTAGTACATTTATGGGCTTTTCTCACTTGTGTGTGAACGTTAAATGCGCTTACTGTAAATTCGCAATTAAGGTAATTACGTGTGAAAGCCATTTGCGGAAACAAGGTTTATTTTCCGTTTATTTTCAGAATGCCTCATTTCCACTTTATTATCGCTTTCTGGCCCACATGTGATAACGTCCTTAGAATACTTTAAAACAGATAAAACTAAAACATTAATTACAAAAGTTAAAATAATTAAATAATACTAATATTAAAACATACATTAAAAAACATATTTAAAACCATTTAAAAAGTATCGCAGGGTTTTCTTGGCAAGACTTTTGTTTTTTTGGGGGGTTGGCATTGCCTTCCTCTGAGGCGCAGTGGGTTTCCATGGCTGAGTAGGGATTCGAACTCTGGTCTCCAGTCAACGTCCAACACCCAAACTACTACACTACTTTGGCTCTCTTATCTCTATGCTAAAATCCAGAATGGATCACTAACATAAGATGCCACTAGTTGGAAGGCAACCCCTGTGTGCTGCATGCAATTTCTAAACCAGTCTTCTGTCCTTAGGTCTAATGGTGGATGTGCTGTTATTGCTAGTGGCAAAGTAAGACCACGCCAGTCCATTTAGCTTTTGTTACCATGAAAGGTTTTCCCAAAGCAGCAAAAAGTCTTATGCCTGCCCTGGCATTAGGGACCACGGGTAGGAGCAGTGGTAAAAACGAAGACATCAGTCGCAAGTTTGGAGTTTCACTTCTAAGTCTGAATATTGTCTGTCTTCAACTAAAAATGCAGGCTGGCTCATAGAGTGGGAGTATTATCAACAAGGAAATTATAGCTTTCTTTTAAGCAAGGATTCATTTTTTAAAAAAATGTAATTCTTCAGCATAGTTATATTTTTCTTGGTTCAGTATAACCATCTTAGATATGTTATTTTCAGATCTAACAATTCTATATTTTGTAATTAATGACTAATTTCCCGGGACAGCTATCTACACATATCTCAATTTTTAATTATTCAGAGAGAGAGAGACTAAGACCTGATGGATCAACATTCTCTTCATTGTTCTCTCTCTCTCTCTTTGTGTAGGGCACATGTGCACATAACAATTACTGTTGATGATAATAATGTGTTTAATCAAAAGTAATACAACACTGAGCAGTTGGGGGCATTAGGAATTAT